GAAAAAAACCTGGATTATTCTCTGTAATGCAGGTGAATCCTGAGACAGTGAGAGAAATCATAGTTGTACCATTAAATGTGTCAAACAAATAAACCCCAAACCAACCCCCTCCCAACCTTAATTCTGTGAGTACCAGCTCTCAGCAATTACTGACTTCGTGTGAAGCTATGTGTTTCTGATGGGTCTTGAGTCGTCTTCCAGAATGTTTTTTTACTGTGTTTCTTGCCAGCTTTTTGAATGTTTTTTGTATTGCGTCCTCAGAAAAAACATTCTCCTGTCATCTTCAGTGATGGTGTTTTAGTGCCATGTGTATTGGCAGACTTAGCTTCAGTCCGTTAATGCATCAGAGAGATGTAGCATAATATGTCATAAATAATCCATAATCAGGCTATTCCCTTCATGTTACTGATGTATTCCAGCTGACAGACTTGTGGTCACTTTGTACAAGCTAATTTAGTCATTGAATCATGTTGGGTTTTCCACCTGATGAGACTTGAATGTGGTTTGAATTGGTAGACAGGGTGGTCTTAGCAAAGAGCTGACAGACTGTCATTTCATAAAGCAGGGTTACTGTTCACAGATGTGGTTCAAGTTCGTCAAGTCTCAGTGACTGCAGAGACTAAAACAGTAGTTTTAAGAATATTTTCCTGGAAGGCTAGCAATTTGCTCCTTTTGTAAAACTTGTGTGGGTATGTGAGTCTGTTTGGTACGTCTTGCGTGGCCGTTGTGATACCCTTCTGTGTTTACTGGGGTCTTCTTTTATTCCTTTTCCTTTGCTTCAGATTCAAAAGATGGGAAATGCCAAAAGCAATGCCTATTGGAATCCCCTTTCCAGATTTCTTCCTGAGGAGCAGTCTGACATTGATGGAGTGTTTGATACCTTGTCAGGATCGAGTGGCTCAGCTGGAGCAAAACATGGCAAAGCTACAAAGAAAACTGACTGGCAGCACTACAGGCAAGACAATCTATTATTCTTGATACGTCTGGACTATAGTGTATTGAACACAATTCCAGAAGGAAACTAAAGACATGGCAATAGTTACTTTTTAAGGACTGCCCATCTTAATTTAATAATGTTTTGGGGCAGGATGCATATTTAACATGAATAGTGACTTTCAGGTTTGTATTTGTCTCTTAAGTTGCATTGTTGTGTCAATTTGCAGCTTTCCTGATTCTGAAGTAAGTTGGGAAGTATGAAAATATTTTCACAGAAACCTGAAAAATGGGAAGAGGATTCTTTCTCCTGGAATCTATAGTGTATGATTATTTACAGATTTTCTTGAGAAGCTGTCACGAAGTCAGTTTGTGTTTTGGTTGTATCTTTCTCCCTCAATTGCACCACCATCTCTAATCTTTTCACTTGCATTAAAAGGAAAGAATTCAATTTTGCTTAAGCTGTGGCTCCCTGTTTTAGCTAATTAACATACATTATGCTTTCTGATTAACTTTGCATTCATTTTCTAATCAAGAAAGAAGAGGAGAATGATTTGTTGCAATACTTAATAGCTGTAGTTAGGCAGGAACCAAGTGGCCAAATGAATATGGTATTAAAAGTGCATGTTTATATATGCTACACAGTTTATGGAACCAATTTAAAACTCCAGGAAAGAAGCAGGGTATTTTAAGGTATTTAGCAATGCAGCTGCATACAGACCAGCGTTAGCCTGCCTCCAGCCTGGCTGTTTATGAGCTATCAGTGGAAGCAGTGTTGTTGCTGCCCAGCCTTCAGCCCCAGCATGACCAAGAGCCTGGTCCTTGGTGTCTGTTATTTCACTGGGACCTGGGAGAGGTTCTTTTCCCAGCTTTGACCCTAGATCAATGTGACGTTTGATGAACATTTGTCTTTTCCCTTCCTACCTTTTTGTTTGCCAACTTAAAATCTTTTGAAAGAGTGTCTGTAGGTGCCTAATTCCTTGGTGCAGGGACTATTGCAGTGCCATGCCTTCCTCGTAGATGTCTATGCTCATGTCTGAGCTAGATCTAGCAATAGTCTGGTAACACTGACGAGGGCCCAAGCGTAACCCCGTGTACTCTGCTCAGGCTCAGTGCTTTGCTGGAAGGAAAGTATGTGGCTTCTGGACCAGAGCAAGCTGCACAGTGTAGCTTGGAAAGCAGGTAGAGCAGGTATCTCTAGATACTTTCTTCAAGCCATTTAAGACAAGGATTCTAAACTGTTAGAGGTGTGAGTTTATTGGATGTTTATTAAAGATTCCCTTTTTACAGTCCTCCGTTTTCACACCCCATGTCTCCTCACTGGGATAGCTATAAGCATAACAAAACAGTGCAACAAAGTTAGTGGTGGGTGGGAAAGGGTAGGGAGTAGGTAGGTAGTACTGCAGCATGAAGTAAAAAACCTTTGAGTATAGTGTTTCTAATTATGTTCCCTGCTGCTTGTCTCACTTCAGGCCCATGTACCACTTTTAGAAAGCCTCTTAAAGACAGCTGCACCCCCTGGGACCATCCCTCCCTCTGTATGAAGCACTCTAACATGCAAGTCTGTGGCTGCTAATTCTGCTTCTGCTGAAATCAATGGGAGTTTTACCACTGATGTCAACAGAAGCAGGGTAGAGCTTGGCATATTGAATCCCGCCCTACATGCACAGCAACAGCCATTAACATCAAACAGGAACAGCCCTGGTGGCTTCAATAAGAGTGGTATTGAGCCAGCAATAGCTTGGTAATAGCAGCTCCACTGAATAGAGCTGGAGTGCTTTTACGCAGGTGGAGCTCCATTGTTTTCAGCATAGTCCCCACTGGGCTGCGTCCGTGTGGGTAAGAGTCAAGCCAGGTGTTCAGCACGTTATGCACAGTGCTTTGCGCGGTGAAGACTCTGTGGAGTCATGTCCTAGTGTACAGATGTGTTTTAGGTGGTTTATTTTTAAACCGTGTAATTATCTTGAACACTGTGAAAGTTTCTTGGATCCAGAGTCGGATCTTTCCCACAGTGTTGTGATGCGTGATGACATATACCAGCCAGTATTCAATTCAAAGGGCCGTTCATGCAATTTTGATTAGTCAGTTTTGATTTCGACTTTTTAACAGCAGGGAAGCCTTATAAAAATCAAGTGATCTCAGTTTTATTCCGTGCTTGAATCAGACGTTGCTGTGTAGAGGGAAACTTCTCAGAATTGTTTGTATTTGTGCATGTAGGGTTAAACACATTGCCTGCATTGTCTTGAGGCCAAAACTGAGATATGGAAAAAACTTTACTTTCTCTTTGGTTTGAAGTATCTGTGAGCTCCTCTATCGAAAGCAAGGCTAAAACACAATTTTAAATGTTGGACTGGCAGAGTCCTAAATTGTACACTAATTGTAAATAAAAAAAAAATTTAAATACGCTAAATTGTATTGGAAAGGAGATACTATAAAAATAGAGATTTTTTTTTCTCTTTGAAAACTAGTCCTTTGACAGAAGTTTGTTGCCAAGACGAGATACATGGTATCAAAATCCTTCATTCATAGCAGTGTGTCTCAGCACAGTTTACCTGGAATATATTAGTTATTCGTCATTTTTAAAACATGTTCTTTGCTCTTTTTCTCATTGTAGACATATATGCAAGAGCCATTACCAGAGAAAATGACTGTTCGGTTATACCACAGAATGAAAAGTATTGACCTGACTGGGAAATCATCTGGGCTGAGTGAACAGATTGCTAAGGAGCAGTTTGTAATTTTTATGTCAAACCTCTTAAAAGGGAATGCAGATGAGAAGAGTACCATAATAATGAGAATCATCTCCAAAACAGAAGGGCCTGTGAAGTGCAAACAAATCCAAGAGGTAAACAGGCAGTTAAACAAACGTGTCTTGGGGAGACAGTAAGAGAACAGAGATAGGTAGGTAATTTGCAGGTAATCTTTAGAGCATAAGATTCAGAACAGGGATTCCTGACTTCTGCATTTTTTCATCTCTTTACTACTGACTTGCTAATCTGGGACAAACAGTGTAGGCAAACCAGGTTATATGGGATGACCGTTTCAGACATGGGCTTTTCCATCCTGACTTGCCTACTTTGAGAACCAGGACCTGGATTTTGTGGAGCACACCGACCAAGTTGTCTGATGGTTCACAAGCTCATTCTAAAGGGTGCAGAGACTGGCTGTACTTAAGAGCCAGCAAGTGTTGTGGTGTGGCTGGTGCTTCTGGGAACTGAGCAAAATACTTTCTAGAGCTTTAGTTGCAGGATGGATGTGTGAATTAAATACGTAGCTTGCAAGGTGGAAGGATGACCCACACAAGAGTTATTCACTAGCTACTCCTACCATTGCAAAATTTGGGCCTCCCCTTCCTCTTTTGTGCAGTGTTTTATGGAGATGCTTTGTGAAGTAACATTTACAAAATATCTTGAAAAAGGGTACTTTTCAAGACCTGTAACAGTGAAATAGCATTTCTGTTATTTCTGACATGTCATGAGAAGAGATGTTTCTGCCATTGGGATTACAGCATCAGTACTACTTCACTTTATTTCGAGAAAGTCCTTTGAAGCTCTTCACAATTTTATTTAAGAAATGCCAAAATGGTAATGTTTTAACCTTTCAAGTTCACAGAGGATCTGATCATGTCTGTAGTCCATGTACTGAGCTACAGGAAGGAACTCAAAGGTTGGAATTTGGAGAATACTAGGGATTCTGCAAGTGGAGTAAAGGCTCTGGCTTCTCAGCTGCTATCAGATTTGAAGCTTGCAGGTAAGCAGCACTAATGTAATATATCCCAGAAAGGCACAGAGCTCACGTGATCGCTGATCTCACAAGAATTTTTCTCTTCAAGTCACATCTTTGAATTTAAATGGTGAGACCGGTATTTCAAACCTAGTGCTTTTCTAATGTCTAGGGAATTTTATTTATTTTACCTTACCATCTTTTTCCCCTAAATTCAGGAGAGCTTTGGTTTGAACTCCCGGTTTCAGTGCACATGGAAAACTGTTTGTCATGGAACATGTCTGTTTCACAAATACCTGACTTGCAGTTGATGGGCGTTTAGATACATGTGCATATGTTTACAACTCTATGTCCTTTTACAAAGCATAGGTTTATTGCCACACTGTTGTAAGAAGAGATTTTGCTGTCTTGCAAAGAACATCTCATAAATTGTAACTGGGAGTCCATGTTTCTTAATCATGAAAGCCCAACCAATGGATGTCACAGACAAATGTTTCTCATTTCTGTGGATGCATCAGCTTAATGCAATTTCACTGTTGCTGACTCCTTTTATATGTGGTTTCCTGTCTATTAAAATAATGGAATACTGTGTTTACACTTAAAAAATCAAGTGATTATTTCCCAGAGGAGAGGTACACACTGGGCGACTTACTACTGTTCTTGTGTGTCTTATTATTTAGATGGAACAAAACCTGTGGGTCCTCAGCTGATGGAGACAAATTTTGATCAAAGTGTCATTGAGGATTGGGTGTACCGAGTTCCACAGATCTCAATTTTCCTCAGTGTTGTTATCAGGCAAGGCCTTCATGTTCTGCATTCTGTCCCAGACCAAACCAAAGACATACTCAACCTGGTTCCAGCCTGCAAAGGCATCAGAACAGGACTTGTCAGTCCATTTCCCAGGGGAGCGTGGGAATGATGGTGGGCGAGGCCCAGAGTAAATGACCCCCAGCCTCCGATCAGGGAGCTCATTCAGGTCATGGCTTCCTTCAGTCAATTACAGCTTTTGAGCTCTCTAAGCTCCTCAGGGAGATGTGTTTTGATATTTAGAGAAGCAGGGGTGTCTGTTTGAGGTAAGACGTTCAGGACGAGTCAAGGCTCAGCAGCAGATCTAGTAGAGAATATATTTATCTGCACCTTTTTTTTCAGGTCAGTAATTTTTAATGGAGCATTTAGGGGTGGCAAGATTAGATTGTTTAATAGTATGTGTTGTTCTTTTTATTCTAGGTGCATTACACTTTCCTGGAATTCCTGACTTGATTTAAGATGGAACTTTGGTATTTTTTAGCTAGTTTTGCTGTATACTGTCTAAGTTGCTGGCATTGCATCTCTTAATCGGACCGATGATGAGATTGTCTGGCAGGAGTTAAGGTGAGCATCTTGTATGCATCTGTACAGAGTTTGCGTGTTTGTCAAGAAAGTGGCAGGGACATGATGTATAGTGTCTTTCAGAGTATGGGACGGCTCATTGCCTTTCCCGATCACTCAGAGGACCGTGTTGTCCCTTGAAACTTTGCAGCTCGCGGCAGGCCCCTCGTAGATCATAAGCATTGGGGCTTCACTTACTCTGTGGGCCTGTAGCAAAGCCCCAAGGTTGTGGGAAGGCAAAAGATGGGAGATGCCTGCAGAATGCAGGATGTGGCTCAGCAGAATGGCCCCTGAGGAGCGGCCAATGCAGGGGGTTCAGGGGTGCAAACACAGGGAAGGAGCTGTCAGGAGGGCATGAGGTTCCTTCCTTGACAGTTCAGGAGAAAAGAAGGGGTTTCTGAAGTTTTGAGACCAGGGGATGGTTGAGGAAGGGAGGAGGGTTCATCAGCTTTTCTCAGCTTAGTTTTGCAGTTGGATTTGAATGTTGATGAGGTCTGTTTGGTTTTAGTCTCTGCAGCTGATGGGAGGTATGACAAAGTCACAAGAGATGAAGCGTAAACCCTCCGGGGCTCCGCATCTCAAGATGCAGGGCTTTGAATCTCAAAGGTGTTAAGGCTTGTGTGTGAAGAGCTTAATGTTCTTTTGTGTTTGTTTTTTTTAATGGCAGGCTGTAGTTGGACTCTAGGTGGCGTTCCTGAATGGAAACGAGACAGCTGGAATTGTTAAGCTGTTGGTTAGCATTGGGGTGACTTATTGTACAATGTTTTTTGCAGATGCAGAGGGACAAGCTGTGTGCCAAAGGGCGAGGGAGGAGAGGCGAGCAGAGCATTGTACAAAGGTGAGTTCACATGTAGTGTCATAGGGAAGATGTGACTGGTGGCTATATGACTAGATTTTAGGTTTTGATTTGTTTTTTAATTTTGAAGGTGCCAAGCAAGAAGTGAAGCGGGGATATGGGCACCGGAGGTGACTCGGGCAAGGTGAGCCATGACTAGTGGCCTGAAGTAGCAGCTGTGGGCTGGGTGGGGGCGTAAGAGCCAAGAATCGCAACTCAGTGAGGTGTTTCTCTTTTGGTTTTGCAGGGGCTGTGTGGGCCGCCTTTGGCCTTGGAATGGTGTTTGAGGTGAGCTGGGGTGGTAGCGAGGAGGAGCGTTGAGCAGGTGTATTCTCGCAAGCACAGTGCTAACTTTGTGTCTCTTGCTATCTTACGTAGCAGAAGCAATGAGGGCCGTGGCGTCGGACTGTGGAATGAGCACGTGAGGGGAGCACCTGGGTGCTTCTGAGGAGGGGGTTTTTGTGGAAGAGGTTGGAGTTGGCCCACATGATACTATCATCACTGTGAGGTGTGGCTGCCTGCTTATTTCTTTCAGATGATGAAGTAGAACCTTGTGGCTGCAGCAGTCAATGTGTTTTTTGTCAAGGATGGATTCAGACCCCCGGCCCGGTGGTGGGTGTGGAGGGGCCGGTGCGAACCAAGGGAGTTGCGGAGCCGTCACAGAACGGCACCGGGCTGCGGCTGCG